AGGTATCATACATACACCTTCAAGGAATATAGCATGTCCTCACTTACAGTCAGCACACAGAACCATCGGCTGTAAACACACTCATAGCCAAGAATAACAGAGGGGTTTTTACTTGGGTTTTCCAATCTCCACCATTTACAGCATGGCGCCAAACACAAACACATTGGTATTGTCACAAGGGAATCTTCCCTTAAACAAAGACTAACCATAGACTTATTGGCACCACACACCTTCGCTACCCCAAGTCTCAACTCCCTCATACCCTCCGAAGAGTTTCCTTACTATACACACCATTGATCTACCTTTACAGCTATCACTCAAGCATGGGTTGAAGCTTGGTTAAGTAAGACCAATATCATCAACACAGTAAATGGCTACCATCTACCCTACACACTGGCACTTACATGGCATAAAAATAGGCAATTCTTTCCCCACTAAAAGCAGCTCCTGTGGAATGGGGTAAATCATGGTCAGGATCATCAATCCATTGTTACTCAGACAACTAAGCACATGGCATATCATCAACAACTTCGCCATGAGACGAGCTTTCATCTCACGTCTACTCGGTTTGTTACCCAACTTACCCAACAACAACAGCAGGGTTACACTGAACATTCAGGCTAGGGCGCATCTGACCAGGTGGTACCATTTCCTGTCGGACTGGAATGGGAGAAACTTGTTCATACCACCGTTGACATTAAACTCCCCTGTGTTATGGACGGATGCTGCAGGTTACGCAGGTTTCACAGCCATCTTCGAAGACAGGTGGTTGAGGGACGCTTGGCCTAGCAAAGCACTAGGATTACCCACTTTCACAAAGACTTCGGCACTGTTTGAGATCTATCCCATAGTGGCAGCAGCTAAAGTCTGGGGCCACTTATGGGGAGGCAAAGCTGTCAAATGCTACTCTGACCACATGGCGGCTTGCGAGATTCTGAACAAAGGCAGGTCTTCTTCACTAACCATCATGAACCTGGTCAGGAGACTCACATGGTTGGCAGCCACACAAAATTTTTTTTTTTTTCCTGACTTGCATACACGTGCCAGGTCACCATAATTCAGCAGCTGACACACTATCCTGTTCAAAATTACAGGTTTTCAGACAGCTACACCCAACAGCAGAGGAACAGCCAAGAAAGGCGCCGCTGTTCAGAGACCTCATCCTGGACTAAAATTACTCATGGAGCACGGGAGGGCACTAGCACAGGCCTCACTTTCCCCAAACACCAGACGCATGTACAACCGAGCCTTAATGTTATTCAACAAATTTGTTTCAGAATACATCATTACGAATCCTTATAGGTTAGATACTATGGTGGCTTTCACCTCTTTTTGCCATCTCAACTTGAAACTGGCACACAACACCATAAAACTCTATTTAACTGGAATACAGCATCATGTAAGCAACACATATTCCAGTATAAAAAACTTCCTATCAGCACACCCCATTAAAATATGCTAAAAGGCATCCAACGCCTAGAAAACCTAAAACCTACTAGATGGCTACCAATTGACGCAGAGAATTCAGGGCATTGTCTGACATGTTAGATACCAAACCCTTTGATAATCACACCAATAACACACTCAAAACAGCCATATACCTGGCATTTTATGCGTCCCAACGAACTCACCTTAAACAACATCAACAATAAGGGAAATATACTGTGTGTGTCACACATAAACATAATAGGTGATCACTACACATTGACATTAAGACATTCAAACGAATCAAATGGGTCCGCACCTTGACATTCAATTTTACCCAACCGGCAATCATTGGTGCCCCGTACAACTATTCGACAAATACATGGCAGGTATGGCTTATCAACCCAAACAAGCTCCTCTCCTCACAATACACAGTCAACCCCTGACTACATCAAAATTCGTCAAATACGTGAGATTATTATGTACAAGAATCGGGTACGATCCCACGGCATATACAGGCCACTCCTTTCGTATCGGAGCGGCAACATCAACCTCCAGCCAAAACGTACCAGTTCATATTACCGTTACATACCTCAACCTGAGAAAGAGTTGAGACAAGCTTTTAAACAATTGGCAAAGTAGGGAAGCTCGGGTAATAATGTATGTGTATACGTATTAAGTGTGGAACTGATACTTCTCTTTTGCCCTCTTTATTTACAGGCTGACCCGTTCGTCGGTTTCGGCACACTACAACCGACTTAGTATATTAGACTAATGATTAGAGGTATAGGTCCACATAAATACGGCCTTCTTCCCTGACCACAAATAGACATATATGTCTATATGTCATATATATATATACACATATATAATTTTTAATTTTTTTTATTAACTTTTAACTTTAATTTTTTTAGGATTTTACACTAGCAGGGAGACTGCCTGTCAGCACAGGCAGTCCCCCTGCAGGCATACACATGGACACCTATTGTGACGATGTGATCACTCTGTTGAGCGATCACATGGTCCAGGGGTTCTAATCCGCCATGGGGAGACTGTCTGGGCTGCAGGCAGTCTCCCCACAACGGGAGCAACACCGATCGCCAGCGGGGGAACGACAGCGATCGGGTAAGTACACTGGACCGTTAGGACGGTTCAGGACCGTCACCGGTCAGCAACGCAAAAATGCCGATGACGGTCCTGAAGGTGTTAAATAGAATTTCCATAATAATTTGGAACAGGGTGTATAAGGTCATTGAACCAAAATTCCAAATAGGGCACCAGTTCTTTGCAAAAAGCCTTATAGTACCCTCCATCTAAGCTGTCCGGCTCAGGGGCTTTATATCCCTTCAGGGATGCTATTGTCAGGATTACTGATTGATTCAGCACGTAGAATTGTCACACAGATGACTAATAGGTAATGTATTACCGGGCCTTAGAATGGCCGGACTAACGTACCAAAGAATAGTCAGTATACTTGCCGAAGTCAGGGGACACAGAAAGGGACACAACGATAAAAGAAAGTCATAAGTCAGGGGTACCAGAATACAGGGAAGTCAAAAACAAAGCCAAAGTAAAAAAACTGAATATAACTGTATAGGAACGCACTTTCGGACAACCACTAGGGAAACCGGGACAGGGCAATGAGGAAAGGTAATTTTGAGTTTAAATACCTGTTTTACCTTTCTGATTGGCCGGGATCGATCTTTGACCCCAAAACGTGCGCGCGCGACTCCCGTGTGTCGTCACGCGCACATCGTCAACAACATGGGGGGTATATTTTGCAGTGGATCCACAGCGGCCGGCGTCCATTAATATGCCGCAAGTGTCAGTCATGCAAATGCACGGCCACTGGGTGCAGAGACCGCAAGGTGAGGGAGAATATGTTACAGCTATAGCGGCATCAATTTCTTCAGGCGCAATCTTACCCTTCAGCGAGTCAATAGCTTATGTGTTTTGTAGATCTAATTTGGAGAGAAAAGCTTGTATATTGGTCATTTCTCTGTCGCTGCTATTGAGGTTGCAGCAAGTGTGGTTATACTATAGAAGTCAGTGAACACTTTGGCAAAGTTTTTAAGGATCCAGAAGCATCCTTGATGTTTGTAATATGTGGATGTCTCTGTCTTTGCGGAATGTTGTCCATTTTGTTTGATTTTTTTGTAAAAGGTCACTCTAGACCATGTGATAGCACTGGCTATATATTCCAGGAGCATTTCACGAATCAATAGTCTCAAGGCATGCAATACCCTCAGTTTAAAGAGGATCAATAGCAATCGCCTCAAAATATTTATTAATTTCTGGACAAGTGGTTGCCACTATATCAGGATCTCAGATTAAGGATGTGTTCAATTTCCAAGACCAAGGGGAGGCAACAAAAAGGTTGTCCAGTGTCATGGCTATGTTGGTATGTGGGCTTGGTCCGACCAAGTAATGGAACCTATGGACGTGCACAATACTCTTGCTAGGGCTAAACTATTAACAAGAAAAAAAATCAGTTTGTAAATGAGTATTGTGGGGGGCTGAATAGCAGGTGTAATCTACCTCATCTAGAAGATCTGTCTTTTGAATAAAAATGTGCACTGACTTGTCCTGTCCATCCCTACCATGTGAGCGCAGATATACTGGGTCCTTTATCTTGCAATATTTCACACAGAATCTGAGGTGTTAGTATATAAGTAAAATTACACTTTTTCTCACATACAATATATGTGACAAAAATAGATAACTAAAAATGGTCAAATACCTTGCTTATAGGTATTTGTAAGGACGCAGAAGAAGAAGCAGTGCAGCTTACTAAACAGAAAATGGCAACAGAATGTAAAATGAATGTCTGCAGCAAATCTCTGGAAAATAAATCTTCTCTAAATGGCCACTGACACTGGAGAAAAGAGGAAAATAAGTGGATGCATGCACTAAATAATGGTCACGTTGCTTTGATTGCGAGGGAAGGGTTAACATCAACAGAAACTGGTTTTCTCAAAATATTTACCTTTTTAGAGGAACACTGTGATGCACCATAACCACTACAGCTCACTGTGGTGCCAGGAGTGTCCTGGTGCCAACCCATTGTAAGTAGTCAACTGGTGCCAACCCATTGTAAGTAGTCAACCATTTTTGAACCGTTTTACTTCTTACCTGGGTACTAACATGACTTTTCCGCATCCCCACTAATAAAGCCAGAGAGATAGAAATTCTTAAGCAGGAAGCTCTTCTTTTTTAAGCCATGTAGTGCTTTTGACTACTAAAAATCTGGTGTGACTGGGCACTCCAGGCACCATAACCACATGTATTTATTGCCTTTATTCATTGTGTATTCCATTAGACAGAGGTTGTAGTGGTTATGGTGCTTGGAGTTTTCCTTTAATATCATCTTTTCTCTACATCAAAAGATTGGTTAATAGAGAAATATCTCATTAAAGAGCTCACAGAATACTGTGATATTAGCAGACAGAGTTAGATCCAGTAGGCATGGCACAATGTAACTTTAGACTACTTTCTATTTAAAAAAGAAATGTACACAAATCCTGGGCTAAATTCCAAAAAAAACAGGACATGTTAAACATTTACCAATGATTAGATTAGACGAGATAGGGGTATAAAATGGCAGGTTTTCATTTGGGAGGGTCTCACACAAAGGTCACCATCCAAGCAGAGCATGAAAAGCATTCTTGGTATCCTTCTGCTATATCTGCTGGGCTGCTCAGGTAAAGATCTGGAGTGAGGTACCTAGGAGGCCAAGATATCTTTACTAAGACAGGCAGTGCTCGTGTTCCTGTTGGACTACAGTCCTTTACCTCTAGGGTTATAGTCCAACAGGACTGTAAAGAAAATTGTAACTGCTGTATCTCACAGTCAGGTTCATTCACCAACCAACAAATGCTGTTGTGTTTGCAAAACCAAAGCCAAATAGAAGATGTAGAAAAATTATCTATAGATAATAACTCATCTATAGACGCACTGTGGCTATTTTAGCCTAAATGTTGGAATTCAGTTTTTTCAATTAGTGAACGAAGCCCTAGTATATCTTCATCCCTGAAAGAGTAATCAGTAAGAGTAAAGATTTTATCTTCAATCCAATTTTTTCATAAATCTATATTTAGTATATAGTAAAAACAAGGTTTAATCTTATGCTGTGTGATTTATGTATGGTAAGAAAAAGCTTAAATTATAATTATAGGTAGAGCTGTCTACATGTATTTATTGTTTACTTATATTGAATGGCTCCATGTGCACTGGCAGGGTTATTCACTTAGCTTCAAATTGTAGCAAGTTTATGAAATATATAGTTCATTCCATTGTTCCATAAATCGTTATGTTATCTAAAATTTCTCAGAACAGCCTTGTGCTGGACACACTCTCACTCACATCCCTAAAATAAAGTGTCCTGCTTTGTCTATTTGAAATGTTGGAAGGTATGTTCATGGTAAAGGCATGTTTGGGTCCACAGCCTTCCAAATCCCCTTCTTAAAAATTCTGCTTTAATATTCATACAATGTTCTTGTCCACCTCTTTCTACACCAGGGTATCCAGCTTTTGACTATGATGAAGATGTTATCAGATCAGCTCTAAATGCTTCCCTTGCACGGCTGAATGATGAGTCCAGGGGTACAAAGTTGCTCAGAATTACAAGAAGCAGAGTAATGAGAGTGAGTATGTCTAGCAGCTGAGATTGAGCCTTTATTCATTGTGTATTCCATTAGACAGAGGTTGATCATGTTGCATTTAGCACACAATTTCAAAATGTTCACACATTGTGGTCTGGGAATCCTGGATGATCCGTTCCATTTAATCAGACATTAACTCTATAAAACAGTATAACATCTGTGCTTTTGCTGCAGGTTTCATATCCAAGAGTTGCTGACATAGACCTTGAAATAATAATGGAATTCAGTGTACGTGAGACCATCTGCAACAAGAATTTTGCTCGTGACCCAACAACATGTGACTTTAGAATAGGGAGTCAAATGGTAAGTGCACTAATATAATGCTATAACGTCAAACTAATTTTGTATCCAAGAGCCATCAGTGTTATTTGCAGTTGAAGAAGTGAACAGGTGTTCTCTGAACCCGATATAAATTAGGTGCAGGGATTAAAACAGATGTATTTCCATTATTCTACGGTGTCATAGTACATACTGAAAATGACCGCTGGCACTCCGACTGAGTACCTCCGCCAATCGATGTTCCTACCGCTTGCCGAGGACTCCGAGCACTCCAACCGACACCATCAGCACTGCGCCGGGGTCTCGCCGTCTCTCACCCACCCTGGATCCACTACCAGGACCCAGCTCCCAGTGGGTGAACCTCTCCTAAATCCAGAGAGCGTAGCAGAAACAAATCAAGTTCTTACAAGAGCTTACTCTGTGGAGTAAGTGATTATAGCAATCCCCAGAGTGTAGGTATCCCTTCCCCCAAGCATGAGCCAAGGCTTCAAGAAAGGTGCAAGTAGGTCTGGTTTATTGAGGGCTACCTGCCCGGTATTTATGCAAGTGTTCACCAGGTGGACACTCCCCTAGGGGACCTAATGGAACAATGGGACACATATTGGATATTAGCCAATCACAGACAATACAAACAAAACACAGTGACATCACAATCCTTCCTCTCTATCCTGGAGATAATTGGGAAGTAATCAAATTATCTCCCAGGACAGAGGTAAGACTCCATTAACCACATGGTTACAAAAAGATATAAAATTACACAATGTTACAATTACTACATAAAACATATACATGCAACATATCCCCAGATAGCTTGGATCTGAGCGCACATTATGACCGAATGGCGCTCAGATCACATAGTTCAATCGCCATGGAGCCAAAGTCTTTTCCATAGTCTTTCGTTACACGAATAGGCTCCATGGCATAGCTATCTGGGGTAGCACTACTCACATACTGAAAGTCCCGAACGCCCCGGCAGAAATTCACAAATAAACCTTTCTGCAGGGTAAAATACAACTATCAGCACAGGGGCCATAGTCGGAAGGCAGAAGGCTAGCCAGTAGTCCCCTGCAGGCACAAGTGGCAAAGGGCACTTCGTCACATAGAGTAAAATGGATAGTCATGTGTTTGCTCATGCAACCACAGTTGTGGTTTAACCCCTTAAGGACCAAACTTCTGGAATAAAAGGGAATCATGACATGTCACACATGTCATGTGTCCTTAAGGGGTTAAGATCTAAATATAAATTACAGAGGTCCACCTTACAGTGGAGGAAGTCTCTCAATCCTGTTGCTCAACAATTAGCTGCTGGGGCGGATTACCCCTTGACAGCTCTGAAAAATCCGACAGTAACAAAAGACAGGGCTGTATTTAAATGTTAATCATCAAAGGAGGCCCCTGAATGTCTTACGGTCTTACCAATAGCACATCAGAGCCCACCGGCCCTACCTCATCGCATGCATGGCACCTTCACAATCTAATACCTTTTGTCCAAGAGGAGGAGAGGTCTCTGACCTTAAGGCTTGAGATGTGCTTGTATTGCATGTGTTTCTCTTTTATGTTATTTTTCTGTTTTATTGTTTATCCATATTTTATAAAACCCGCACCTGCCTTTTTTTTCTAGCACAGCCGGTTTAATCACGAGGTACAATATTCTTGTTTTCAAAAAAGGTGCATAATGCGCTACCTGCCACAACCTCAAGCCCCTTGTGGGTTAAGGGTCCTTCAGTAAGGTTTAGCCTATATAACATGTAACTGGAGTCCCTATAATGGCTAGACTGGGACTAAAAAGCAGCCCTGGAAATTTTTTACACCAGTCCACCATGAGTTGTGTTAGTTGTGAGAGATATATTAGTAAGGGAAAAAAACGTAAGACTAAATATTAAAAGAGCACACTCACTGGACTTCAAAATAAACAAAATAGCTGCTTTATTCTAATCAGATGTGTAACATCTTTTACAGTCAACCTGTTATCCCCATAATCTCGCCTTTCTGTGAAAAATCCAGTAATGGGTTTGAAGCATTGACGGAATGCTGTTGCAAGTTTGATTAAATAATGAGGTTATTTTCTTTAGTCTTATAGGAACACTATAGGGTCAGGAACACGAAGGTGTATTCCTGACCCTGTAGTGTTAAAACCACCATCTAGTCCCACCTTTATTCCAGTCTGCTGCTGCTGGCTCTGCCCCTGATCTGCCTTCTTGGCTGACATCATCAGAAGTGTTATTCAAAGCCAGTCACAATGCATTCACATAAAGCATTGGATTGGCTGAGACTGTCAAGGAGGCAGATCAGACCATACGGTCTCAGAGGCAACATAAATAATCTGACCTTGTATTTGACCCTGTAATTGTTTAAAACACCATAAAACCTGTACACGGGGGTACTGTTATACTCAGGAGACTTCGCTGAACACAAATATAAGTGTTTCAAAACTGTAAAATAGATCACAACAATAATATAGTCAATGAAAGTGCCATTTGAGTGTGAAAAAGCAAAGACTGACACTTTCACCGATGATATCATTGTTGTGATGCCATTTATTATTTTGAAACACTAATATTTGTGTTCAGCGACGTCTCCTAAGTATAACTGTAACCCCCATGTACAGGTTTTATGGTGTCTTGGAAAGATACAGGGTTAAATATAGGGCTTGCAAATTAAATCATTTGCACTTGCTGCCTGGGTAGTATAGGCACATCATGTAGACAGTGTAAATAATTGCAGTGATAGATCATTATATGGCAGTAGAGGCACACTGTGTAGACAGTGTAAATAATTGCAGTGGTAGATCATTATATGGCAGTATAGGCACACTGTGTAGGCAGTGTAGATAATTGCAGTGCAGAAAGCAGCACTGATATGACAGTATATGCACCTAGCAAGTGTCCAGAAGGACAACCATGATTTTAGGTCCGAGTATAACTTTTTTTTCCTCTAGTGTTCTACTTTTGGATATACTAGAAAAAAGTCCCCATAAAGTGCATGTTCAAACAAGATAAATCTAAATCCAGTAGTGCTCTGCACATTGACAGCACTGGTTGGCATTTTTGTTGGGTAGTACGTCAACTTTGTGGAATTGAATTGAAGACATAAAACCACTTTTTTAAATCTTTAAAATGTCTTTTTTGTTTCACCATCAAATTATGGTTGAAGCCATAAAAAAGATATTTTGAAGATTTAAAATGTGGTATTTTCTGGGCAGATTGGTTCTTATTGGCTTTGCTTGGAGCAGGAGTTCTGGACCATAGCACCAATGATTGCAAACTTAAAGGACCACTATAGTGCCAGGAAAACATACTCGTTTTCCTGGCACTATAGTGCCCTGAGGGTGCCCCCACCCTCAGGGACCCCCTCCCGCCCGGCTCTGGAAGGGGAAAGGGGTAAAAACTTACCTTTTTCCAGCGCTGGGCGGAGAGCTCTCCTCCTTCTCTCCTCCTCCATTCCTCCTCCTGGGCTGAATGCGCACGCGCGGCAAGAGCTGCGCGCGCATTCAGCCGGTCACATAGGAAAGCATTCATAATGCTTTCCTATGGACGCTGGCGTGCTCTCACTGTGAAAATCACAGTGAGAAGCACGCAAGCGCTTCTAGTGGCTGTCAATGAGACAGCCACTAGAGGATTAGGGGGAAGGCTTAACCCATTCATAATTATAGCAGTTTCTCTGAAACTGCTATAATTATGAAAAAATGGGTTAACCCTAGAAGGACCTGGCACCCAGACCACTTCATTAAGCTGAAGTGGTCTGGGTGCCTAGAGTGGTCCTTTAAAAATGTCCCACTACGTAATCCGATTTAAATCTTGAACTGGTGAGCAGAATTACTGTAAAACTATAGGAAAGATTTGCCACCATTAGTACTTCTTACATCATTCCTCTAATGACAAATACTCACTTTTATGTGATACTGCTATAAGAGGTCTGGTAGCACATTTATCTTATTGCAAAGTAATTGAAAGCTTGTTACCAACAAGATTTCCTCTTCAAAAGTGTTTAATTAACCTACTCACTATAAAGCACCTTTTATTTGAAAAAAATATTACCGTAAGGTTTATTTGAAACAAGGGATACATAGATAATTATGGATAAATAGTAATTATGTAAAAGCACAAATGGGCGATTGCATACATGCCAAAATAATTAACAATATCAATATAATAATAATAAGGATATAACCCAGTGAATGATGAACTCACTCTACAGTGCAATCCACTAATATTGGCACCTTTGAGCAAAGAAGGCTCTGCATAATTGTCATTATTGTTTAACCTTTTGATCTTGATCTTTTGTTTATAAAATACACAAAAATATTCTGCTCTCATAGATATCAAACAATTGCAAACAAAACGTTTATATATAAAAAAATATTTGTTAAATATATCTGTGGCACAATTTTTGGCACCCCTATGAATTCAGATGAGAAAAACATATTTGCAGTATATTCCTATTGATATTTTACATTTTTAGTACACCTGAGTGACTATGAACAGGAAATTATTCAACCTGTTCACAGGGGTATAACTAGGAGGTAACATAGGCAAAATAGAAACATGCCCTTAGTCATTTATCACAATGAGTAAGAACAAGGAATGTTTTCAATGTCTAAGTTCCATTTGAATAGTCGAACGGGAACCGTTTGTGCACATAGGCAACGTTAAAGTGCCATTCAAATTGTAGAATGCTGTTCGATTCCCGTCGAAGAGTCGAAGTCCCGGAGAAGGTAAAGTTCAGGGGTGTTTGTGCCGTTGCATGTCCGATTTGAGTTCCATGAACTTGCCGACAAAACACCACTGAACACATTCGACTAAACAAGAGGGCCGCCGCCACATGTTCGACTATACGAACGGCGACCACCCAGCCGTTCGTCAATTTGGCTGCGGTTAACTACCAGCCTGGAAGGTGAATAGGCTGCACACTCCCCTTGTGTGTGGTCCGGCTGTTCGGTGGTTCGAAGTGACACTTCGAAAGTTTGAAGAACAATTGTTTAAAGTCCCAAACAGGCATAAATAGTATCTTTAACCACAGTAACTTAAAGGGGCCATAGTCACAGGGTAAAAGGCAGGCAAGTAGTCCCCTCCAAAAACTTGTGGCAAATTCAGCTAAAAGGGGGAGTTTGCCACAGAGTGCAATAATTGAGAAGTTACAGTCAACTGGGAATGTTATGAATCAACCTGAAAGAGGATGTGTGTCTATATTGCACTGTGAAAAGAATGGTTCAAGTGACCAAAAAATCTCCAAGGATCGCAGCTGGAGAATTGCAGAAGCTAGTTGCGTTTAGAAAGTGTCCAAAACCACAATCCGACATCACCTACATCACCAGAATTTTTTTGAACGGTTTTAAGAAAAAATACTTTACTCTCATCCAAAAATAAAATCAAGCTTCTTCAGACACTAATGGAAATGCAAATGGAATCGGGTTCTACGGTCAGATGAAACCACGACAGAGCTTTTTGGCAATAAACCCCAGAGGTGGGTTTGGCATACACGGAGAGGCAGCCATATGGAAAAGTACCTCATGCCCACGGTTAAATATGATAATGGCTCTTTAATGTTTTGGGCCTGTTTTTCTACCAGATGACCTCGACATTTTGTTAGGATTCATGGCATCATGGACCCTATCAAATATCAACAGATATTGTGAGGATACTTATTGGATAATAAATATTAAAATTAATATTTTATAAAAATTATTATTTAATAATTTTTAATATATCAAAAATTTATATATTGGCACTGTTTCTCCTTGACTGATTTAAAGTGAAGAGTTACCCACTATTTTAACTCTTATAGACCCTGGAGTACATTTATTAGAGTATTTGTATTTCACACATAAAAATATAATTTATTCTGACAAATAAATAATAATAATATGTAACATACCTGACAGTATCAGTGAATATTTAGGAATAACAATGGTGAATGCAAGAGTGTGCTTTGTTTAAATGAAGATTGAGTATTTTAGAAAGCTATCAAAAGTTCACCTATAGACTGTAAGCTCGTTTGAGCAGGGTAATCTTCAACCTATCGTTTCTGTAAGTTGTCTTGTAATTGTCCTATTTATAGTTAAATCCCCCCTTTCACACTATTGTAAAGCACTAAAGAATCTGTTGGCGCTTTATAAATGGCAATAATAATATTAATAATAACAATAAGTATACAATATGGCAGTTTTGACACAATAAAAGATAAATTAATAACAAAATATCCAGCAACATGAGTTAAATTAACTCCTAAGGGAGTTACATGCAAAATTACAAATAATTCCTCTAGAATTTAATTAACGATTTTATCCACATTGATGCAATTTTGAACAGACTACAGTATCTCTCAGAGTTCAGCTAGAATTCCTTAACACAAAATTTGATACAGAACACACAGGGCAGCACAGCTTCACGTCATAAAAACCTTTGCTCTCAGTTTGAATCACACACAGTTAACTCACTCACTGCTGGCTACAACTCTCACAGGAAAACATTTTAATGTTGCAACTTAAAAAGATACAATATGGGGGCGGGGCCTGACAGCCATGCATGTCATCAAGGTTCCTGCTACATCTAACCTAAAATAGCAATAATCATGGTCCTAAGGACACCAAGGGAACGGAGTTGCCCGCTCAAGTGCATGGGTGAAGGTTGGCGCCACTGTAGACTCTGAGATCAGGAGTTTTGGGGCCCCTGGGGTACAAAGCTTCAAAACCTGCGGCCTTATCGGATAAGAGCGGGGCGGACGGCCGCTGCCCTGCCCACAAATCTAGCAGCCACACTGCAGCCCTGTGACAAACCTCACAGGCCCCAGTACCTCCCCTCCCCCCCACAGGCCGGGGGGGGTGGGGGGGGGGGGTTATCCCCAAAGACCAGCCATTCACCCCCTACTGGGCCAGCTTGACAAGGTTTTGCAGACACTAAAACCTTATCTCTGATCAGTGTTTAGTTAACCTGCATTACAGAATTTCTTCTCAGTGAATAGTTAGAGAGAAACAAAAAAATGTGCCTGAGCTTTGCATTGTGTTACCAAATGGAGTCACATCTGCTAAGTGGTGACTTTACAGTATACATTTTTAATTCAATCTTGTCTGACATTGAAAATATCTGACAACATTAAATGACCACCTAACTGCCTCTGCCAGAAAGCGTAAAATGGGCCATGGTTGGATCTTCAAAAAAGGACAATGATTCAAAACATACATCAAAATCAGCACACATTTTTTTTTTTTTTTAATACTTTATTTTTTCATCTTGACCGAAGTAGCGTGAACAAGATAAGCGATTTGGCTTGCGCAGAAGCCCATTAGTCCACATTATAATTGTACATATCTATACAGGTGGCACTACGGACAGTCTTCGCAGCGATAGGCTCGTTTGGCTACTTGTCAAGGGGTTTTTCTATATTATTTCACAGAAACGTAACATAACATCAGAAAAAACAAAACAATTAAAACATTACTTTACTCCGTAAGAAAGTATCCCGCCCTATCTATTGAGCCCATATTTATTAATGCAATTTAGTTGTCTTTTGAAGTAGGAATCCGTTTATCCTATGCTTTCCTTACGTTTTGCCTCCCCGTGTACGAGGATATGTTCTGACATTGGTGTTTACCGTTAATAGCCTAATCCGTCATATGTTGTAGAGAAGAAGAAAAGAAAAAAAAAAAAAAAGGGGAAGGGAAGGTGGGGGGGAAGGGGGTTATGTGACAGGCTGTACGTTATGCCACGTGTAGGGTCCTCTAGAGAATGCTACTTGTTTTCCTTGGTCTCGTACGGTCCCTCCTCTTGTCTCTAGGGGAGCACACGTTTTTATTTTTACAGACCACATAATAAAGGTCCTAACATGGCCATCCCACTCCCACTTGAACTTCATAGAATACCTGTGGAGTGAACAGAAGAGGAGGGTCTACCAGCATTAACCTCAACATTTGAAGGATATAGAGAGATTCTGTATGGAGGAATGGTCTCATACTGTATTCTCCAAACTCATCAGGCATTGTATGAGCTCAGAGCTGTTATTTTGGCAAAGAGGGTTAGCATAAAGTATTGTCTAAAAGGGTGCCAATAATTGTGCCAAACACATATATAACAGTATTTCTATTTTTCTAAACCTGCTATGTTGTTCGCAATTTTTTGATAACCATGAGTGCAGAGTAGTTTTGTGTATTTTATTAATAAAAGTTCGAACGTTTAAACAATAAAAACTATTTTTCACAGATTTTTTGCTCACATTTACCAACGGTACCAATATCAGTGAAGGACATTGTAAATTGACATACTAATTAGGAATACAAGTTCAAAATTCCATTGCAGAAATAATAATTTATTCACATGGAAAACAAAACAGATCACAGGATAACAATGTATAAAATAGGATAAGATCATAGTACAAATACACACCTTCTGGTATCCAAGCACTATCATAAAAGCTTAAAAGGCATTCTAAAGCCACTTCTGGTCCCTAGGCAAATGTAGCCTCCTTGCTTCCTTAATTTGCAGTCCAGGCTCCGAACACCTCACCTGCCTGCTGCTAATGAAACGCTGAGGGAGTGTAATAGCAACTTAAGTCTGTGGGCTAAAAGTGGCATTTGAATGCTTTTTTGTGCTTGTCTATAACAAAGTGTGTATTTGTACTGAAATCTTTTATTTTTTGACAACATTTTCCTATGATCTGTTTTTATTTTGTTTATTTTGATTTCCATGGCAATAAATTGTTATTCCTGCATTGGAATTTCCAACTTGGGATCCCAATTGGTATGACAACTTAGTGTGAGTTCACCAATTACTGGATTGTTTCCTTATTATTATTATTCTCCAGACCTATTCACGTGCCCATTTGTGGGCTTTGCAATTCATAAATCTAGTTGTTTTAAGTACTAGCTCTATTGTTGCTGCGATAATCTAGGTGCGTATTGTGACCGTATTCAAATATTTATTTGTGATTTTGTAAAAAATTAAAGATAGCAAAATACTCCAATAAGGTTATAGGTCTTTTCTGAAATAAAGATATGGGGGAATTATCAAGGCTATTCTGGGGCAAATAGCTAAAAAAGTTATAATCACCATGGAAACCAACAGAATGTTTCTCATCGTTTAGCACTTTACACCTAAATATACCTGCGCGTATTTATAAATCTCTCCCTACCTTTAGATATCTTTGGATTATGATTTTTGCAATGTGATCATCTTCTCCATAAGGTTTAGTGGAACTCTTCCTTTGGCTAAAGACTGACAGCTAAACTATCCTAAACAGTAAAAGAACATACGATAAGACAAACGTTTTGTTTTTTTTCACTGTATTTTATATTCTTGTTTTCTGAGCAAGTTATCTTATATTCTTTCATCATTACATGTGTTACACTCAATACGTGGTATTGTAGCAAGGGTTAAATCTTGATTATTGATTCATGGGATTTGATGTTTACTCTCTCCCTTTTCAGGAGGCTTCCTGCAGAAGCCAAGTGCTAATCTCCAATGGAAAAACTAGAGTTTTAAATGCATATTGTCCCCCATCTTCAGGCAGCTCTGAATCACACAGCAGTGAAGAGGTGAGTAGAATTGAAACATAAGATACACCTACATGGTAAATTTCGACATACTTTTCAATGGGTAGTCCATGATAACGTTGATACTCTGTGTAAAATATATACTAACCTATGATTTTTCTCACATTTCAAGTACATTTCTAAGATTTGGTTCTTTGTGCAATGTTGCCAGCAGGGGTCAGTAAAGTACTTATTTAATCCTGCTTATTTTACTGCTTTCCATTCAAGCTCTGAACTGCTTCATGCAGCAGGTATTCATGAAAAATATAGCATAGCTGTTGAATTATACTAAAAAGGTACAATACTGAAAAATCTGATAGTAACCCGTAAAAAAAAAAAAAAAGTAAGATAAAGAAGAAATTGGTCTCGTGTTAATATTGTTGGACAAATTTCCAAACTATTTATTATGTTTGGATAAATATACTAAAATATCAAAATATATGCCATATATAAATATATGTATATCTATATTTTACAAAATATCAAAACATTATAACATTTAAATATTTTTTATATATTTTATTTATTTATTTAAATTCTTTATTTTGGATGTGCACGAGAGATATAGGTTGAACAAAAGACATTCGTACATTAGTCAGGTCATATATAGCTTAGACATGTCTCGCAGTATGCACATTTTTCTTTTTTTCTTCATCATGGAACAATTATATACAAGGCTAACATGTTAAAAGTGATGCAAACAGATAGGCAGGAGGCCTGTAACAAGGAACAACTTTATGTCGTTATGGGTTATGTGCGGTTCTTGGAGTTGAGTTAAGTGACATGTATCAGCTTATGTAGTAGTGTTGGTTCCCAATTTGGGTTGTGGTATGACATTGTGGTCAGTACGTGTGAACACTTTGGTCCAACTGGAGGGTCAGTAGAGCCCAGAGATGGAGTTTATAGAAAATACTGGTGTGTGTGGTGCCCCTAACCAATGGGGCAGCGGGGGGTGGGGGGGAGAGGGGATGTGGCCCTGTTGACGCCTTGGTGTTGTGTTCCGTGTGGTGTCTGGGGTGTGGTTTGCTCGTAGTCATGTTAAGAGTATTAAGCTGTTTTAAACGATAAGTTGTAAAAGTAAAGGTAAAGGCAAAATTATAGTGAAAGCAAAAGTAAAAATGGGTCTAGTAACTGCAATATGTCCAGGTACAAGGTTCCCCTTGTATGTCAGTGTCCCCTCTGGATAGCTCGAGGCCAGGGCCTCCCAAAGTAGGCTAGGTTGTGGAGCCCTGGCTGTCTGTTCGCTCCATCACTGCACTGGTGCTGGCGTCCCTCTGGTGCGTTGTACAAAGGGCACGAATACAAAGAATCCCCCAACGTTTCGGCACCTCCTGGATGCCTTGATCAAGGGCGTTTTGATAAACGCCCTTGATAAAGGCATCCAGCAGGTGCCAAAACCCCGTCATCCATGTACGATGTAATGTTTGTGTTGTCTGTGTATGTGATAGTAGGTGTGATGACTGTGTTTGATATGTATGCTATGTGTTGGCTGTGTGTGATATTTGTAACGGGTGTATTAACAGTGTGTGATATGCGTGTATTGGTTGTATGTGCTATTTGTGCTGGGTTTATTGGCTGTGTGTGATGGTTATTTAATTCAGATAAAAACATGCATTTAAGCCTGTGTGTGAATGCAGGTGTATATTTTTGCAGAGTTATGTGCACACATTTAGATGCACACAGTTATACATATACACTGTCAAATCCATCACATGCACACAGTCGTAGGCAGATAGTCATATACACAGGATCAGGCAGAAACACACAGGTACAGGCAGTAACACATATACACACTCACACACAATTACTGGCAGACAGCCACATACACACACACACACACACACAGGCAGCCACACATACAGTTTTACACACACACACACATACAGTCTTAAACACACATACTTACATGCAGACAGCCACACACACACAGGCAAACAGCCACACACACACACACAGACAGCCACACACATACACACAGGCAGACAGCAACACACACACAGTAAGACAGCCATACACACACAAATACATCCACACACAGAGGCAGGCAGTCACACACAGAGGCAGGCAGTCACACACACAGGCAGACAACCACACACAGGCAGACAGCCACACACACACACACAGAACCACACACATACACACAGGCAGACTGCAACACACACACAGTAAGACAGCCATACACACACGAAGACATCACACACACAGGCAGACAGCCACACACAGGCAGACAGCCTCACACACACACACACACACACAGACAGCCACACACATACACACAGGCAGACAGCAACACACACACACAGTAAGACAGCCATACACACACGAAGACATCCACACACACAGAGGCAGGCAGTCACACACAGAGGCAGGCAGTCACACACACAGGCAGACAGCCAAACAAACACACAGGCAGACAGTCACACACACACAGGCAGTCATGCACACACACACACACAGACACACACACACACACACAGGCAGACAGTAATACACACACACACACACACAGGCAGACAGTCATACACACACACAGAGGCAGACAATCATACACACAGACACATATACACACACACAGGCAGACAGTCACACATACAGACACACAGACACAGGCAGTCATACACACAGACACACACACAGACAGACAGTCATACACACAGACACACACACACACACACACACAGGCAGACAGTCATACACACAGACACACACACACACAGGCAGTCATACACACACACAGGCAGGCAGTCATACACACACAAAGACACACACACACAGGCAGTCATACACACACAGTCATACACACAGACACACATACACAGGCAGACAGGCATACACACAGACACACACACACAGGCAGTCATACACACACACACAGGCAGACAGTCACACACACAGACACACAGGAAGACAGTCACACTCACACTGACAATCACACAGTTACCTGCGGAGTTCATTGTGGAGGCAGACAGGCAGTGCAGCTCCTGGAGACTGTTTGGTGGAGAAGCAGGGACTCCTTCCTGCTTCCCCTGCGGCAGTTATCCGGCGCTTTTAGCTCTGCCCCCGCTGCACAGTATGCTCCGCCACGCCGCACGGTAAGCTCCGTCCTGCCGCAAATTAATTTTATTTTCTTTTTTTCTTTTCGGCCGGCCATGTGTGAGCTGTGTGCTCGCACACCCCTAAGGCCGGCCCTGTTCTGCCCTATCAGGTTGTGGAATTGTGGTAAATATTTACTGTGGATTTTTTGTCTAGCCTGTTTAATATCACTTTATTTGCATTATATTTATTAGGCATGTGCATGGGAAATTTTTTCGGTTCAGTTCGGCATTCCTAAATTCGGAACTTCGGAACTTCGACACTTCGGAAATTCAGTAATTTCGGAACTTCGGGACCTCGGCAATTCGGCACTTCGGAACTTCTCTTGCAACCGCTTGGTAGATAACTCCCTAATTCCTACAGTATAGGGAGTTATCTACCAAAAGGCTGAAAGACCTAAATTGGTCTTTCAGCCAAATTTACTAATACTAAGTAAAGAATACTTACTAGTATTAGTAAATTATGCCCCTACTCGCTATACCGTGAGTAGGGGCATCTGTAGTAAATAGTGAGCAGCCACTATTTAAAAAAATGGTCCCCCCTCCCGAGCCCCCACCCGCGATGTTTTCTTTCTTCTAAAATCTTCTTTTTTCAGCCCCAAAAAAGGCCAAATAAAAAGCCATAATAACTGACGCACTTCACCCATGGAGGGCTCCGTGCAGACTGAGCTCTGCAGGGCGGGGAAGGCTTATAAAGCCTTGCCCCACCCTGCAATTAGGCTCAGAGCACTCTGATTGGTGGGTTTAAGCCATCCAATCAGACTGCTCTGACAGGTAAATGAAGAGACTGACAGGTAAGTCTCTACATTTACCTGTCACAACACTCTGATTGGTTGGCTTGAAATCCACTTATCCGAGTGCTCTGTGTCATTTTACACAGTGTGGGAAAGTTCTGTGGAATTTTCCCACACTGTGTAATTTGATTCATAACTCTCTGATTGGTGGATTAAGACCTGTCAGTCTCTTCATTTACATAGTTACATAGTTACATAGCTGAAAAGAGACTTGCATCCATCAAGTTCAGCCTTCCTCACATTTGTTTTTTTTCTGTTGATCCAAAAGAAGGCAAAAAAAAACAGTTTGAAGCACAATTTTGCAACAAGCTAGGAAATAAATTCCTTCTTGACCCCAGAATGGCAGTCAGATTTATCCTTGGATCAAGGAGTTATTACCCTACATTGAAAGATTATGAATATTTTGTTTTTGCAAGTACGCATCTAGTAGTTGTTTGAACATCTGTATGGACTCTGATAAAACCACTTCTTCAGGCAGAGAATTCCACATCCTGATTGTTCTTACAGCAAAAAACCTTTCCTTTGTCTTAGACGAAATCTTCTTTCTTCCAGTCTAAACGCATGGCCTCATGTCCTATGTAAAGTCCGGTTTGTGAATAGATTTCCACACAATGGTTTGTATTGGCCCCGAATATATTTGTATAATGTTATCATATCCCCTCTCAGGGAACGTTTTTCTAAACTAAATAGGTTTAAATTTGTTAACCTTTCTTCATAGCTGATATGTTCCATTCCTTTTATTAAATTTGTAGCCCGCCTCTGCACTTTTTCTAGTGCCATAATATCCTTCTTTAGAACAGGTGCCCAAAATTGCACAGCATATTCAATATGTGGTCTTACCAGTGATTTATAAAGAGGCAAAATGATCTCTCGTCCCGAGAATGAATGCCTTTTTTCATGCATGACAATACCTTACTGGCCTTGGCCACTGCTGATTGACATTGCACATTGTCATTTACCTGTCAGAGCACTCTGATTGGATAGCTTAAACCCACCAATCAGAGTGCTCTGAGCCTTATTGCAGGGTGGGGCAAGGCTTTATAAACCTTGCCCCGCCCTGCAGAGCTCAGTCTGCGCTGAGCCCACGCCAGGTGAAGATGGATAAAAAATGTTTGCACTCGTTTTTCTTTAGTTTTTTTTTAAAGTGCGGTGGTTATTATGGCTTTTTATTTGGCCTTATTGGGGCTGAAAAAAGAAGATTTTAGGAGAAAGAAAACATCAAATGGTAAGTTTTATTTAATTTTTTTAACAGGTTTAGCTAATGGTCCCCCATCACTATTTTTAGGGGGAGGGGGTAGGTAGGGGTTAATTTTTGGGGGGAGGGGGTGACTAGGGCTTTGGGGACCCCTAGTCACCTGGGGAGGTGGGGTTATTTTTTTATTTAGGGCACCCACACGCCTCTCAGGGGTGGGGGCCAGGGGGGAGGACATTAAGTCCCCCCCTAATTTATATTTAGGGCCCCCACCCACCGCTCAGGGGTGGGGGCCAGGGGGGAGAACATTAGGTCCCCTCCACATTCTAATTTAGGGCCCCCACCCACCGCTCAGGGGTGGGGGCCAGGGAGGAGGACATTAGTTCCCCCCTCATTCTAATTTAGGGCCCCCACCCACCACTCAGGGGTGGGGGCCAGGGGGGAGGACATTAGGTCCCCCCCTAATTAGTATTTAGGGCCCCCACCGCTCAAGGATGGGGGCCAGGGGGGAGGACATTAGGCCCCCCTAATTAGTATGTAGGGCCCCCACCCACTGCTCAGGGGTGGGGGCCAGGGGGGAGGACATTAGGCCCCCCTCATTCTAATTCACCCGAGCAGGTCCTATTTTTGCCCCCCCCCATTTTAAATGTAAAAAACAAAAAAAATTTAAATGTATGTAGCATTGAGAAGTGTTTGTATGTTTGAATGTAAGCATGTTTTTGTATGGAGTATGTGTGAGTGAATGTAGGGGTATGTTTGTATGTAATGTTGGCGTTTGTATGCAAGTATGCATTTGTGTGGTGTGTGGTATTTGAATGCAGTGGTGTGGTTAAATATAATGGTGGGGTTTGTGTTGACGTTGAAATGCATAAGTGTATTTGTGTGTAGTATTGGCGAGATTTTGAGATATTTGCACATATACTCATACATACACAAACTGACACATGCAGATACATATACACACATGCAGATACACCACTGTCACACAGATACACATTGACACACATGCAGATATAGTGGTAATTCTGGGAACAATATATAGGCAGGGGGGCCACATAAGATACCACAGTCAAAAGGGGGGGTTGATGGGGGTGAGCACTAAAATGTTTCACTAGGCAATGGGGTTATGTGCTGCCATTGGCTGTCTGATGCCGGCATTAGCCAACCAGATTTATTGTTGTGGGCTGGCTGACATCTCTTGACTTCGATCTTTGTTTATCAGATAACTCCCCTATTTGCTATCCTTATGTGAGATTGCCATATTTAAGGACACCAAATAAGGGAGCTATCTGCTATACAGCTAACAGATCAAAATTTAAAAATCCCTTTTCCTTATTTCAGTTGTTTAGTAGATAAATCACTTATTTGTTATCCTTATGTGGGATTGCCATATTTAAGGACACCAAATAAGGGAGTTATCTACTAAACACATACACATTTATATACACACAACACAATGTATCTATGTCTGTGTGTATATCTGTGGTTGTGTATATATATATATATATATATATATACACACACATGCATATTCAAAGACATAAACCCACATAACCACACACAATCACAGACCTACACACACAATCACATACATAAACACACATAATCACAACACATACTTAACCACAGAGATACACACAATCACACACATAATCACAGATTAAATTTGTAAATCCCTGGTGAATTCAAAGTTTAGTAAATATCCTGATTTCAAGCATACACAGAAGGAAACAAATATCAATACATTAAATAATCCTTAAAATTTTAATAATACAGATGATTTATATACATTCTGAACACATGATGCTAAGACAACAGATCTTTTTTCCTCTACTAATTCTCACAAATCTTTCATGTTTGAGAATACAGATATGTTTTATTGCATTGTAAATAAAGTAATACTACATTGCATTCTTGTGCCAGTTGGAACACAATTACAATGAAGAACACGTATAACACTATAAGCACCGAGGCCCCTTCACCTCAATGTAGTGGTCTGGGTGCAGTGCCCTTGTCCCCCTAAGTCTTGCAATGTAAAACATTGCAGTTTTTGAGAATGTTTACATTGCAGTACTAAGATTGCCTCCACGGGGCTTCCAATGATGACATCCAGTGTCAGGCAAAGCTTTCCTATGGGGAGTGCCAAATGTGCTCTCAATGCTTGCTGCACATGTGCATTAGGTCCCCCGTCGAATGACGTTGGAGGTGGTGGAGCGCCAACGAAGTGCCAAGCACGATAGCGCTGTTATCGGGTGAGTAAAAAAAAAAAGCCTTTTTAATGTTAAGGGAGGAGGTGGCCGCAAGGGAGACCAGAGGGCACTATAATGTTAGGAATATAACTTTGTATTTTTAACACTGTAGATTGCCTGTAAATGTTATTGGAGATTAGGAACATGAACAATTTGTCTATCTATGAGAGCACCCTTTAGGCACAAAAATCACTTCATATTAAGTGATTTGTTCGACAAGATGCTGTCCCTGCAGCTCTGCAAATGAAAACAATGTGGTTTCTAAAAATCGCTAGTGGCTGTCAGTTAACCACTAAATGCTTCCTACACAAACAGATTAAGCTCTTGAATCCAATTGATATTTGGCATCAGCAAAGCATGTGGACACTGGATAGACAAAATTCACCAGGATTGATGACTTTACTATTGCGAGTGATGGAATAAAGGTAAGTTTAAAGCTAAGCACCAGAACCACTTCAGCTTAAAGGGAAACTACACTGCCCAAATTAAAAAAAAATAGAAATCACTGTTTAGTAGATTTACACCAAATGAAAACATCTCTACATTTATTATGTATTTTTTCATTGGGAGTATATATAATACAGCTTGCCAAAGCTGCTGATCTTTTGTCTGTTGCCTTTGCAAGCCCTCCTCTTCTGGCCAAGCCCAGAATTTTTTGTGACTGTCCAATCACAGACTTACCAATGCCGCTCAATGAAAAGTCTTTGCAAATCACGTGCTCTGGGCAATCGTTACCTATTGAATTTAGCTCACTTAACTAACCAAACTAGTTATTAACAGGACCTGTTGTCTGGTTGAATGCAAGGGGGTGTGTAACAAGGTTAAATTATACAAGTGACCATTTCTATTGAAACCTGCACTTTTTGTAAAATGAGAAAAAGAGGACACACTCTTCACATATAAAGCACTTCAGCAAACTGAAGTGCTATTGGGGTCTGGAGTGTCCCTTCAATGTAGTTGTTCTGTGGCAGAGACTGTCCCTGCAGGATCAGCCGTGTACACACTACCTTTTATGAGAAAAAGCAGTGTTTACATTTGTTCTTAATACCACTCTAGATACTGTCACTCAGATATTCACTAAAGGGGCTTCCTAGTGCATTCCAGCAAAGATCGCAGGATCTACATTCAGCATCTTCACCTCCAGCATAAAGTCACAGCGTGCTTCCCAAAGAGATGCATTGAGTAAACACATCTCTAGAATGAGATGCTGATTGGTGCAGTGAGGCGATTGCTCATTAGCCCCACCCCCCATGCTTCCATGTGGTGAAGCACTGGATTAGCTGAGACGAGACTGACATGTTGATAAATTAAAGGTAAGTAAAAAGGCTTTATTCAATTTTCCAGGGGAGCAACAATTTGAATGCAAAACAAAGAGTGTTCCTTTACAGGCACTTTTATTATTATTATTAGTAGTAGTAGTAGTAGTAGTAGTAGTAATATTATTATTTTTTTTAACTATGGCTGAGTAATAAAAACAATAAAAGGAACACATCTGTTGTTTTTTTTAATTAGAGTGTTTCTTTAAAAGTTAAAACCACACAGCTATTCTGTACAGGGAATAAAAGCAATAATAAAACTACCAATAAAAGTTAACTCAAAGAGAATTTCTAATTTTAGGCAAAAATAGCCAAATCAGAAAGTTTTTTTCTAAAATCATCTGTGTTTATTGTTTAACTAGTTTGTACTTAAACTTCAAATTCCCTTTGAATTTCCAACAATCTAAACTTTAGCGAATTACCCTTCTAATATTCACAACCAAAAGGTAATTCTTTGTCATCTAGTTAAAGAATTGATCAAACGAATGCAGAATATGGAAATTAATTTTGCTTTTATTTAATTTACATGATTGTTGCCTTCTGCCCATTTATGAGATTGATACATTTATGTTCTGTTGTTTCAATGGTGACTATTCCAGTAATTAACACCTGAAATCTATTAACAAGCCTCCCGTATTTAACTAGCCAATTACTGATTCACTACTTCAAAAGGCTATACACTGTTATTTTCTAGGCTCCACCGTGATTTCATGGTCTGCTGGTGAATATCACATGATTTCAACTATTCGCTTGATACACAGGAAGAAGAACACTCCACATGGAGTATTTATGACCCTATAAAAAACATAGAAAGGAAATGTGACAGATCCTGTAAAATCATATTCCAGTGTAAAGTCATTTTATTCTAAAAAGTACATAACAAATGTAAATTAAAATACTATATGAGGCGTACAATTTTTTTCTATATGGGTTAAAAATACTTATTTAAATTTAGATTTATTCAATTATGCCTTATTATGTGGATATGCAAATATGAATGACGTCTTAATTTGAGAAAATAATGAAGGAACAGAGATGGAGATCAGAAGATCAAAGTAGATGCAACACTTGGTGGTGCTTAGGAGTCTCTGAGTCACAGAACCTGCATCCAAAAGATTAGGAGTAGACGTCAAATATTAGTAATTTGCTGATGTCAGTCTCTTTACTGATTGGGTCTGATAGTGAAATTGGCATCAGGTCCGATCTAAGTCATAAGATGACTTCATGATGACAGAGGACATTTGAAGATACATTAATTTTAAAAATGGTACCGTGACCACTAGGGGGCACCTGTTTTTTAGCATTTATACTGTGCCTTTTGATCTTAACCCCTTAAGGACGGAGCCAAATGTACACGTTGTGAACGAAACAAAATGTAAACAAAACCTGGCATTTGCGCTACATGTCTGTCCAACCGTAATACACCTCTTTCATAGTAAATGCACCCACCCTTATTATATATCATTTTATTCAGGGGAAACAGTGCTTTCATTTAATATCAAATATTTAGCTATGAAACATAATTTAATATGAAAAAAATGGGAGAAAATAAGATTTTTTTTGATTTTTTTTAGTTCTACATGACATTTTAACGGTCAGTGTCATAATACTGTTTGCTTTTACTGCAATAAAATACACATATTTGTATTCAGCAAAGTCTCACATGTAAAACAGTACCCCCTATATACAGGTTTTATGGCGTTTTGGGAAGTTACAGGGTCAAATATAGCACGTTACATTTGAAATTGAAATTCGCCAGATTGGTTACGTTGCCTTTGAGACTGTATAGTAGCCCAGGAATTAAATTTACACCCATAATGGCATACCATTTGCAATAGTAGACAACCCAAGGTATTGCAAATGGGGTATGTCCAGTCTTTTTTAGTAGCCATTTGGTCACAAACACTGGCCAAAGTTAGCGTTAGTATCTGTTTGTGTGAAAAATGCAAAAAAACGCCAATTTTGGCCAGTGTTTGTGACTAAGTGGCTACTAAAAAAGACTGGACATACCCTGTTTGCAATACCTTGGGTTGTCTACTATTGCAAATGGTATGCCATCATAGGGGTAATTTTCATTCTTGGGCTACCATAGGGTCTCAAAGGCAACGTAACCAATCTGGCGAATTTTAATGTGAAAAAAATGAAACACAAGCCTTATATTTGACGCTGTAACTTTTGAAAACACCATAAAACCTGTACATGAGGGGTACTGTTGTACTCGGGAGACTTCGCTGAACACAAATATTTGTGTTTCAAAACAGTAAAAAGTATTGCAGCAATAATATCATCCGTGTAAGTGCTGTTTGTGCGTGAAAAATGCAAAAAACTTCACTTTTACTGGCGATATCATTGTTGTAATACATTTTACTGTTTTGAAACACTAATATTTGTGTTCAGCGAAGTCTCCCGAGTAAAACAGTACCCCCAATTTACAGGTTTTATGGTGTCTTGGAAAGTTATAGGGTTAAATATAGTGCTAGCAAATTAAATTCCCTATACTTTCGGCATGGGTTGTCAGGCAGGTCCCGCTAATTGTAATTAATTAGGATACCTAATTATGTAAAAATATTACATAAATATATGTGTAGAATTAATATATGTATATATATATATATATATATATAATTTTTTTTATATTTTTATTTATATATAGGTGTATATATAGTGATATATACGTATATATTTATGTATATAGATATATATATTATTTCGTTCTACGTGTATTTTGATATAAAATATATATATATATTAATATCACAATACAGTTAGAACGAAATAACAAACATCTATATATTTTTTAATTATTTATTTTTAATTATTTAAAAAATTTTTTTTTTTACGTATTTACATTTTTTTATATTATATATAAATATATATATATATATATATATAAAACAATAATTATATATATATATATATATATATTTAATTAGTATCAGTCTACGTGTAATTCAATAGTAATATATATAAATAATTATATATATATTAATATTTAAATACACTTCGTGTATGTGTAAATGTGTGTGTGTGTGTGTGTGTGTGTGTGTGTATATATATATATATATATAAGTATATTTTATATGTAACTGTAATTTTTTTTTTAACTAATATTTTATTTTTTTTACAGGAGAGGGGGCAGAGACAGTGTCAGCCAGTGATTTTACATCACTGGCTGACACACAGGATCAGTGATCACAGTGACTGCCTGTAACTGTGATCACCTCCTGCAGATTGGGTAATTGGCCACAGGGGGGAGTGCCTGGGTGGTACAAGCACTCCCCCCTTCCAATCTGCAGGGGGATCTTTGTGCCAGTTACATGTGTCAGCCAATAAGCTGACACATGTAACACTGATCGCAGTGACAGGCTGTCACTGCGATCAGAGCGCTCTGAGATCGCAGTGACAGCCTGTCACTGCGATCTCAGACAGTGCAGATCGTGTTCACTGACCCCAGGGGGACTGCCTGGGGGGCCAGGTAAGTCCCCCGACCGCGATCTGCACGGGGTAGCCTGCGGCCACGTGTGTCAGCCAATTTGAAATCGGCTGACACACGTTAAAAACTGGTCGCAGTGACAGCCTGTCACTGCGATCAGAGACTGCAGATCGGTATCACCGGCCACAGGGGGGGTTGCCTGGGGGGACCCGGCATCCCCCCCGACCGCGATCTGCAGCGGGCGACTAGCGCCGGCCACATGGGCGGCCATTAAAGTGAGGGCGTACTATTACGCCCGCCGGCGTTTAGAGCTGGCTCCTGCAGGGCGTAATAGTACGCCCTCCATCCTTAAGGGGTTAAATAGGCTGTAGGGTAGTGGTAGAACAGTGTCCTCTGTTTTCAGTGAGCTTTAATAGCAAACAGGGCCCTGGTATGTGGCCACACAAACGCTGGTGCTCAACACCAGGGGGCTTGTGGTTATCCTACACCAGGCCCTGATAATCCACTGCCATGCTGAAGACTCATCTTCAATTTTTGTGTGTGTTTTTTTGAACAAAGGATCAATAGGTTAAACAATAAATACAATTGTTCACAGCCTTCTTTGCACATATTTACAACGGGTGCCAATATTAGTGGAGGGCACTGTATAAATAATCCGACTCTAATCCTAAACTCAATAATTTTAACCCCTTAAGGACACATGACATGTGACATGTCATAATTCCCTTTTATTCCAGAAGTTTGGTCCTTAAGGGGTTAAACAGCCCTTGTACTACAACTTCAACCCCTCTCAAGCTGTTAATCTTTTTAACACTAACCACCCTGCGTAACATAACTGTAACATTAACCCTTCTCTAACCTTAAAGGGAGACTCCACTGCCCAGATACAAAATAAATAAAAATCACCGTTTAGTACATAAACCCCAAATGAAAACTTGCAAGCATTTAAATACGCATTTCTTTAATTGAGGTATATCAAAATAAAGCTTGCAGAAGTTACATTACTGCCTTTACAAGCCCTCCCCTTCAAACCCCGCCCAGCCTTTATGTGGCTGTCCAATCACAGACTTACAAATGCAGTTAAATAAGAAGTCTTTGCAAGGAAGCTAAAATGATTTTGGGGTCAGGAGTCATTTAAGTCCCCCTGATTCTTACCACTTCTAGCATTATCATTAACCCTGTATGCATTTATACAGCTGCATACACTCAGTACTCACAGATTCAAATACAATACATCACAAGCAGAGCAGAAATTTGCACATACATACATTTATACATATACAGCTGACAAATATGAATGGGTTTTATATGTTTTTAGGCCTGCTGTGTCCAGTTAATAAATGACTTATAAATTATCTGCCTTAATTTGGGGTTGGGAAGCATGGGGCTACTTAGACTTTTGTCCGTATCGGACCCTGACATGTAAATCTGGCCCTGATGTTAATCAAGCATTTTTGTGAATGTCTTCTCTCCTAGTTAGATTGTAAGTAGCTGCTTTATATGCTATGCTGGTAATGTGACTCTGGACCCAATACAATAAAACAGTGAGATGATCTGTATTAATTACCTGTCATTCATTTTTTTATGTAAGCTGTTATGGAGGATCTGGACCCCAGCTAGAAGCTTCCTACAAGATGAAGGTCAGAATGAAAAAGAACTAAAGACTTGTACATTTCATATGATAGAATCAACAATATTTTAAAATGATTCCTTAACGAGTCTTGTTACTGTACATCTATTTTGTAATGGGTAATAAGTTGTTCTATTACCCATTCAAGCTTCCCAGATCAGGGCCGTATTTACCATTAAGCAGTCAGCAAACACTAGGCAGGGGGGGGGGGTCTGTTAAAAGTCCCCCTTACCTCTTGCCCAATGTTTGCTAACTGGAACAAAGGCTTCTGGACTCTGGGATCTTTGTGTCCAGTCTGAGGGAGCCTGATCTGTGCATGGCCCTGTTCCCTTAGACTGACCACAGCAACCCAGACTACTACACAAACACACTACTACACATGCTGCTACCCACACTGTTACACATAGTTCTACACATACTCTCTCTCTCTGATCACCACCTCCTATCGTTTGCTCTCGAGTACCCCCTCACCCAACAACCTCAGCCTAACCCCCCTCAACTAAGGAGGAACCTTAATTCTATTGACCCCCAGCAGCTGTCAGCTGATATTGATTCACAACTGCTATCTATCCCTTCCCTCTCCTGTCGCTCACTGGCCATCTCCACATATAACACTACCCTCACCTCTGCCTTGAACGCTGCATCCCCGCTCCAAACATGCACCTCGAGGTGGACATGCCCCCAACCATGGCATACTAAATCAACACGCTACCTGCAAAGATGCTCCCGATGTGCTGAACACTCCTGGAGCAAGTCTCGCACCAGGCAGACTTTCTCTATTAAAGATTCATATTGTGTTCATACAGCGCAGCCCTTGTCCTCGCCAAACCGTCATACTTTTCCTCACTCATTAGATTAGATTGCTCCTGCAATCCCAGGCCTCTCTTTGACACCTTTAACTCTCTTCTTCGCCCAGCTGTGGCCACCCCCCAAACTAACCTTACAGTCAATAGCTTTGCATGCTACTTTACCGACAAGACTGAACAGCTAAGGAAAGAATTCTCACCACCCTACCATTCTCTTTCTCAACCACACGTAGATCATGCCTTTCCTACCCTTCAGACTTTCTCCCCGGCTACTGGACAAGAGGTGGCTGCACTTCTCCTTTCCTCTCGCCCCACCACTTGCCCGCTCGGTCCTGTCCCATCTCACCTTATCAGACCTCTCTCCCCTTGTCTTGTGCCTTCCTTAACACACATCTTCAACTGCTCTCTTCTGGTTTTGTCCCTGCTGACCTTAAACATGTCACTGTAGTACCTATCCTGAAAAAAACATCTCTTGACCCATCCTCCCCCTCTATCATCCCATATCCCTGCTCCCTTTTTCCTCAAAGCTTCTGGAAAGAATTGTCTTTGCCCGTGTGTCTCACTTCTTCAATTCCAACTCTCCCCTTAATTCTCTTCAAACTGGCTTCCGCCCTCTCCACTCTACTGAGACTGCTCTTATCAAAGTTACAAACGACCTAATCGCAGCTAAATCCAAAGGCCACTACTCCATACTAATTCTTCTTGACCTCAATGCTGCCTTTGACACTGTTGATCATGCACTCCTTCTTCAAACTCTTCAATCACCCAGTCCCTATGACTATGTCCTCTCGTGGTTTTCCTCTTATCTCTCCCAATGCTCATTTAGTGTCTCCTTTTCTAATGATACCTCTTTCCCTCGTCCTGTCTCGGTTGGAGTCCCCCAAGGTTCTGTCCTTGGTCCCCTTCTATTTTCTCTTTATACTGCCTCTCTTGGCAAACTCATTACCTCTTTTAGATTCAACTACCACCTGTACGCTGATGACACCCAGATATATCTCTCCTCGCCGGACCTCTTCCCTGCCATCCTGCAACGTGTCACTGCTTGCCTTTCTTCCATCTCTGACTGGATGTCCTCCCACTTTCTGAAACACATTCTCTCTAAAACTGAGCTCCTTGTCTTTCCTCCTCCTAATACTGATCCTCCTCTTTCACTCTCCCTTCAAGTTAGTGGTATCCACATAAGTCCATCATTGCAAGAGTGATGTCTTGGTGACATACTAGACTCTGGCCTCACCTTTGAGCCTCACATCCAGTATGTTGCCAAATCCTGTAGATTCCATCTTAAAAACATAGCCCGCATCCAGCCCTTTCTTATGCAAGATGCTACCACGGAGCTTGTCCATGCTCTAGTAATTTCCCGCATGGATTATTGTAACCCTTTCCTGATTGGTCTTCCCAAAAGCCGTATTGCCCCTCTACAGTCTGTAATGAATGCTGCCGCCAGACTGATTTTCCTCTCTAGTCGGTCCTCTCACACCTCACCCCTCTATCAGTTCTTACATTGGCTACCTGTATCCTATAGGAGTGAATTCAAAGTGATAACCCATACCTATAAAGCACTGAACAATTCTAGCCCCTCTTATATCTCTTCACAGATCCATAGGTATGCCCCTTCTCAGTCTCTCCCCTCTGCCTGTGACCTTCTCCTGTCCGCTGCTCGCACCCGTCGTCTTGCAGGACTTCTCGTTGGTGGCTTCCTTCCTATGGAATAGCCTGCCTACCACCATCAGACTCTCCCATAGTCTTTAATCGTTTAAGAAGTGCCTTAAAACCCATCTCTTGAGGAAAGCTTATGGCCTCCCAGAGTAACCTCTACCTTACATACCTGTCTCTTGCTCTCTCCTAAAGGGCAGCACTTTACTCTCTCCTCCAGCTCTGCTTGACTCCCACCTTATTTGATTATTTCCTGTCCTAATGTGTTTTATGCGCCACCTTCTATAGACTGTAAGCTCGTTTGAGCAGAGTCCCCTTCAACCTATTGTTCCTGTAAGTTTTCTTGTAATTGTCCTATTTATAGTTAAATCCCCCCCCCCCTCATATTATTGTAAAGAGCTACGGAATCTGTTGGCGCTATATAATGGCGATTATAATACTACTACACATGGTGCTACCCACACTGTTATACACACACACACTTCTACACATACTATTACACATGCTTCTACCCACACTGTTATGCACACACTTCTACACATACTGCTACCCACACTGTTACACACACCTCTACACATACTACTACACATACTGCTACCCACAGTTATACACATGCACATACATACTGCTTACCACACTGTGCACATACAGACACACCTACATCAGCTACACACACTACTACACAATAGTGATGTCCCGAACAGTTCGCCGAATGGTTCGCCGCGGATGGCGAACATATGACCCTGTACCTCACAGTCAGCAGACACATTCCAGCCAATCAGCAGCAGACCCTCCCTCCCAGACCCTCCCACCTCCTGGACAGCATCCATTTTGAAGCTGCATTCTTAGTGAGCTGTCCAGGAGGTGGGAGGTTCTGGGAGGGAGGGTCTGCTGCTGATTGGCTGGAATGTGTCTGCTGACTGTGAGGTACAGGGTCATATGTTCGCCGTCCGTGGCGAACCGTTCGGGACATCACTACTACTCAACAATTACTGCAGACCACTTCTTTTCCAATATATTTAGATATTCTCATTTTCAAACAGATGCTTCATGCGAGATACAGTATCTTACTATAAAGTAGATCAGATTAATTTCAAGCAGATTTTAAGAATGTTACAGTAACATATGTGGACTAAAATCAGAATCCCTAAAAAAGAATTCCATTGTATTTTTTTTTTTTTAACATGTCCCACTTAATTTAGGCTGTTCTCTAAGAAAGATAGACTCCTACCCAATATTCCATAGAGAGAAGATTTGTGCAGTGAGGCATGGTCTATACACAAAAACTGCGTTGTTACGCTAAAGTTGTTTTGGTGACTATAGTGTCCCTTTAACATGCAATGTTATTGTAAAAGTTAACTCTTACATGGTCTCTTAGACAACTAGTGCTAGCAGTAAAACTTTAAATGCAATTAATAATTATTTTTTAATTATTAAGTATTTTGTGTGAAAAGAGTCCTGCCACTGCTTAACTACAATCAGGCCATGACTTATAAAATACTTTTTTTTTTTTTTTAGAAAGATTTCCCTCACAATGGCATCCATTTGGACGGAAGAATCAGAAGCCTAACCCTCGATGGGAGGAGGAATACTGGGATTCTCGGAGCTGGCAATAAATCTAATGGTTATTTCATTTCAAATTATTTCACTATCTTTCCTTTTTCAAATAGTTTCTTACTGGTTAGTCGTTTCTCATGAACTCACATGAAACATGATGTGTGTGGTGCTTTGAAGTCAAATGTCTATGCATGAAATTCTTTCATTTAACTTCATATATTATGTGTATGTTGCCATGCAACCACATGTACAGTGTGTGAATGCATGTGTTTGTGCATATGTTAGCATTAGGCAGATTTACTGAGAAGTAACATATACCAGCTCAGTGACAAAAGAGCCTTTCTCCACTAAGTTTCTCAAGCTTCTTTTAGAACCAAAAATGTCTAATTCAATAATTCTTTGGATAGGGTTGCCACCTAGCTGGCATATAAGACTTTCTGGCCAGTGTTGGTGTAGCGGCAACACCGGCAGACTGGAGCAAGAATTTCAACTTGCTATTTAACATTGCGGGTATACACACATCCTCCCCACTCACACATAGTATACACACACTGCAGCAGACACAGTAAACACAGAATCAGATATAATATACACACAGTGACACTCAGTGCTACAGACACAGTACACACACAAACATCCTGTCCTGTCTGCACATTAATAGTGTGCTCCTGATACTCTCTGGGTGTCTTAAAGAAAGTGTAGCTTGAAACAAGTACTTTTTGACCAGCCAACATCTCACCACACTACTTAACTGACAGAGGAATGCGTAGCAAAGTTCCTTTCCTCAGCACCCCCTGCTGACTGACACCTGAGGGGTATCGTCTCCTCTCCTTATGTAGCCTGATGTAGCATTACACTACTGGTCTTCCTTTTTGTAACAGGATGCTGCTTTGACAAAAAATTCTAAATTAAAAGAACAAACCTAATATACTATGCCTCCTCTACCAACTGTAGTCCCGGGAGAGCCCCACATCTGCGGCTTTAGCCCCCCCCCCCTCTAGCCCCTCCCAGCAATGCCTATGCTACACACACAGATACTACACATATACACTGCTACAAACAGACATATATACAGATATATGCATACACTCACACACGAGTACGTAAGGAGCTAAGTGGGGAAATAAGTGATCCTCTGTATTTAATCTTTCAAGATTCTTTTGTTTCAGGTATTGTACCGGAGGACTGGAGGAAGGCAGATGTTATTCCTATTTTAAAAAATGGTTCAGAATCCTTGCCTGGAAGTTATAGACCTGTGAGCTTAACTTCTGTGACTGGGAAAATATTTGAAGGACTATTAAGGATAATATTCAGGAATTCATTGGAAAGAACTTTGTTATTAGCAATAATTAGCATGGTTTTATAAACATAGGACATGTCAAACTAACCTAATTGCATTCTACAAAGAAGTAAGTAGAAATATAGATCATGGTGTTGCAGTATATGTGATCTACTTGGATTTTGCCAAGGCATTTGATACGGTTTCTCACAATAGGTTAGTGTTCAAACTAAAAGAAATTTGTCTAGATTAATATTCTTGTTCTTGGGTAGAACATTGGCTTAAGGATAGAGTACAACGAGTTGTCATTAAAAGACCACTATAGTGCCAGGAAAACATACTCGTTTTCCTGGCACTATAGTGCCCTGAGGGTGCCCCCACCCTTAGGGTCCCCCTCCCGCCGGGCTGGATGGCGAGGAAAGGGGTTAATCTTACCTTTCTCCAGCGCCGGGCGGGAGTTCTCCTCCTCCTTTCCGCCTCCGATCCTCCTCTTCGGCTGAATGCGCATGCGCGGCAGGAGCTGTGCACGCATTCAGCCAGTCTCATAGGAAAGCATTTACAATGCTTTCCAATGGACGCTGGCGTCTTCTCACTGTGATTTTCACAGTGAGAAGCACGCAAACGCCTCTAACGGCTGTCAATGAGACAGCCACTAGAGGCTTTAGAGGCTGGATTAACCCTAACATAAACATAGCAGTTTCTCTGAAACTGCTATGTTTATAAAAAATAAAAAAAAGGTTAATCCTAGAGTGACCTGGCACCCAGACCACTTCATTAAGCTTAAGTGGTCTGGGTGCCTAGAGTGGTCCTTTAATGGTAAATTTTCAGGCTGGACAAGAGTGGTAAGTAGTGTCCCTCAGGGTTCTGTTTTGGGACCGCTTCTATTTAACATATTTATAAATGATCTTGAAATAGGCATTGAAAGCCATGTATCAATGTTGCAGATGACACAAAACTTTGTAAAGTAATAAAATGTGAGCAGGATATTACTTTGCTGCAGAGGGATTTAGATAGATTGGGGGACTGGGCACTAAAATGGCAGATGAAATTTAATGTAGAGAAATACAAAGTTATGCACTTCGGGGTCAAGAATGCACAAGCAACTTACACCCTAAATTGTAGTGAATTAGAGATAACCACACACGAGAAGGATTTGGGAATTGTTATAGACAACAAATTAGGCAGAAATATGCTATGTCAATCTGTAGTTGCTAAGGCCAGTAAGGTGTTGTCATGTATAAACAGGGGCATAAATTCTCGAGATGAAACTATAATTTTGCCTCTTTATAAATCGCTGGTAAGACCACACCGTGAATATGCTGTGCAATTTTTGGGCACCTGTTCTAAAGAAGGATATCATGGCACTAGAAAAAGTGCATAAGGTTAAAAAATTTAAATATCATTAGTTTGGAAAAACGGTGCCTCAGAGGGGATATGATAATATTATACAAATATATTTGGGGCCCGTACAAACCATTATCTGTAAATCTATTCATAAACGGGGCTAGACATAGGACACGAGCTCATGCATTTAGGCTGGAAGAAAGGACATTTCATGTAAATCAAATAAAAGTTGTTGTTTTTTTTTTTTACAGTAAGAGCAATAAGGATATAGAATTCTCTGCCTGAAGAGGTGGTTTTATCAGAGTCCATACAGATGTTTAAACTGAAATTGGATAAATACTTGCAAAAAGTTAACATACAGGGATATAATTTCTAATTAGTGGGGTAATAGCAGCTTGATCCAAGGAGATATCTGACTGCTATTTTGGGGTCAAGAAGGAATTATTTCCTAGTTTGTTGCAAAATTGGAAGCGCTACTGACTGGGTTTTTTGCCTTCTTTTGGATCAACAGCAAAAACATATGTGAGGAAGACTGAACTTGATGGACGCAAGTCTCTTTTCAGCTATGTAACAATGTAATGTGTGTATAGCATTTTTTCTTAGACATTTTTATGTAGGCGTTTTTGTTTTTTTCAGGTTTTTGTGGCTGAATGCCTACACTTAAGAATTCTGTGTCCACGTGTACTCATGATCTAAATCGAGCCCTGGGGGGGACAAGGTCAGGTGGAAGGGTGCCAAATGCTCACTGGGTCAGCATTATAAGAGTTGAAGCCATTTTAAGAGGTGAAGCGCACTGTCAGGTGATCAAGAGTGCAGTCCATATAACAGTTTAGAGGCACCATATGTCCTGCCCACAAGTTAAGTTCAGTCATCCGAAGTCCAGGACAGATACAAGTCAGTCATCATTAATGTGAAAGATGAATAAAGAGTTGTCTATTGGTCTCCGAGTTGAAGCCCTCCAGCACTGGTCCTTCTGCCAATGACATAGTGTATGAATGGTCAAATCTCTCATTCCTCTATGAGTTTACCTTCTGTATTACATCGTCCTAACTCTGTCCATCTATTACAATCTCCTGTTTTAGCTTCTAATCATGTATAATTAATTGCTCAATTTATCTTTTTACAGATGAAAACATTTTTCTCCGTACAACTCTGGATGGATGAATTTGCATGTCTTTACAGATATCAGAATTTTAACAGAAAAGTGAACTTTCTGAATAATTGTACAATAAAATACACCAAAGCACTTTCAAGGATAATCTCCTTTCAATTCCAAATAAACGACGGAATTCACATTGCTATCACATACAAACAGTCACTGGTCCCCCACACGTTGCACACTATATAATTTCCAGCATTGTCTGCAAGTACAGTTGCTAGATCCACCATATTTTTCTTAATATATAGACAGGATTATTATTCACTAAAGTGAGAATTCAAAGGGAATCTCAAATAATTTAAGGCATAAGTAGCTGAGCTGGAAGGACGTTATTTTGACTTTAAAGCAACATGTCAGTACCCCTGCAAAATTAGTATTTCATAAAGATAAAATCTTCATGAAATACTCATACTGACTATGTTGGAATCTCACTGAAATTCCAGACGAGTCAAAAGATATATTGAGTCAAAGTAGGGACTACTTCCTACGTCTGTCACTTGTAGACACTGGGCGGAGCCACCGCCATCTAGAATCATGGACGGCAGAGATATTAGCTGTATCTATGGGATCCTCCATAGACCTCAATGCTGTACTTTCTCGCATCCCCGAGATTATAGCAGTGACATCAGCTCCTGGTATTGAAACACGAGGATCAGAAGAGGACTTGCCAGAAGAAGTTGGCGGTGCCCGCGAGGGACAGATTCAGGTAAGTGAATGTCACTTTTCCCTCCCGACCAAGCCACCAGACCACAAATGGCAATGTCACCATCGGGGGTCTTTGCAAGTAATGCAAAGTAACCCAGACGGTGACAACGCCACTTTAAATTTTAAATTCACTTTGAATTCTCATTTTAATGGAAAAACCTGAGAATTACAGCAAACTCAAACGGTCCCCTGAATTAATTCTCTGCCTGAGGTATATGAATCTACATAATACAAGGTAGCCCTTTTAATGTATTGTCCATAGCATGCGACAGTAATCTGTATTAAAAAAAAAAACACTGTATATGTGGCAACTATAGCAGCAAAATAATGAAGTATTGCAGTTTCCTATGGTACCTTTTTTATTGAACTAACAGTGACATGCTTTTTGGTGTTTCTCCCTTCATCAAGTCTAAAGCATTTCTAGCAACAGCAGCTGGCAGAGTATGCTGGGAGATGTAGGATGAGATTTATCTAGGCAGAACAGGTGCTGAGTGCTGAATGTTGACAGTCACTCTATGGTGACTGTACACAGACTATACAACTAACTGCTTATTTCTATTTCCGTTCCCTTTTCATAGAGATAGTGATCATGGCAAGCATCATGCTATGTTTGATACTTGACATACTTGAAAACGAGAGAAATCTCAATGTATCTTTCCTGGTAAAATATTTTATAAATAAATTTAAGAAAGGCCTCAGTCAGCAAAAATAGTTATAGCAAAACCCTTTTAGGGGTCCTATGAGAATAAGATGGCATGCCACCTAGTATATATATTTCCTGTTTTTAAAAGAAGAATAACAACCAAAACAAGAGGATGTAGTCTTAAATTTGATGGGCAAAGGTTTAAAAATAATATCCCGAAGTATTACTTTACTGAGAGGGTAGTTGATGCATGGAATAGCCTTCCAGCTGAAGTGGTAGTGGTTAACACAGTAAAGGAGTTTAAGCATGCGTAGGATAGGCATAAGGCTATCCTAGATATTAGATAAGGCCAGTGACTAATGAGAGTATTTAGAAAATTGGGCAGACTAGTTGGGCCGAATGGTTCTTATCTTTCATCACATTCTATGTTTCTATAAACCTGTAGAATCCAATGGTTTTACAAACAGAAAAGTATTACTAACGCCACCCACTAGGTGGCAGATTAACTCAATGAATACACTTCTATAGCGAACTCTGCATGAACTTCATCTTTGTAGAATCAATTTTACATAATTTATGATCTGAGATCTTGTGCCTGAGAGCTCCTGCATTTCTTCAGATAATCTGTAGGAAATCACAGCTATCTGTAAAAAAAAAAAAAATAGGTCTGAAAGCAGGAGTGTGCCATTTGTCACATTAACTTTTTTTTTTTTTTTTGCTGTAGAGCTTATTTCTCTCGTCAGATTATTTATTAAACAATTCTTATATAGCACCTTTATCCATCGCTTAACATAGACTAGCATTCATCAATAATTAAGTAATAATAACTACAACCACTGTATAGGACATTTAGGTTACATGATTATAAATTGAGGTTACATGATTATAAATTAGAGACCAATTATAGTGGATTGAGGCTCATGAAGAACAACATTGTATTCAACAAGAGAATAGTATGTAGTTATAGTCATATTCAGTTGCATGGATTTACAGCTACGGGAGGCAGTAGTCATGACTATGGTGGTTGCACAGGTGGGGAGCAAGTGTTATTGTTAAGGAACAGGTTAATCAATATTTCAAAACAATTCTTGATTCAGGGCTATTCACAAAAGTGGATTTCATAGTGAATAAAAAGTAAATTTCAAGTTTAAGACCAAAGTAGAGCCGAAGTTCAGCTATGTTAGCCTTAAATTTGAAACTCACTTTGAATTTTAACTTTAGTGAGTAGCCCTGATTGAGTTACAGATGGTGTATTAAGAATCCGTCAAATGTATGATTGTAGTTTTGTTTTTATTTTTAAAACGGTTAGTTCACTAAATTAATAACTGTGTACAACTGAGAAGGGAATTGATTTTTTTTCTTGTTGTGACACAAGTAAAGGAAAAATGTTGAGTGTATTGAGTTGACAAAAAAAGTTACTACCGTGTTTCTCCGAAAATAAGACCGGGTCTTATATTAATTTTAGTCACAAAAAACACACTAGGGCTTATTTTCAGGGTAGGGCTTATTTATTTACGTTACCGGTATGTACAGCTCTTTCTCTTTGCACTCATCTTGTCTGGGGATCAAAATACCATACTGTCTAATTAATCCACCCCCCTCTAATTAATCCACCCCTTTAATTAATCCACCCCCTCTCTAATTAATCCAGCCCACCCTTTAATTAATCCACCCCCTCTAATTAATCCACCCACCCTTTAATTAATTCACCCCCCTTTAATTAATTCACCCCCTCTAATTAATCCAGCCCACCCTTTAATTAATTCACCACCCCTTTAATTAATTCACCCCCCTCTAATTAATCCAGCCCACCCTTTAATTAATTCCCACCCTTTAATTAATTCACCCCCCACCCCCTTTAATTAATTCAGTCCCAGACATAAAATATCTACCGGTACTCACATTTCAAAGATTCCTTGCCGAGTCCGACCACTGGGTGCCTCACCGCCCGGAAATGGATCCTTCCGCTGAAGATCCGTGAAGGCAGACTGACGGCGCTACGAAAGGTCGTCATCACGTTGCGTGATGCTGCGGCCCGCAACGCTCCTCCTCATACGGTAGAAGAAGGAAGTTTCGCCGGGCCGCAAAGGTGCAATGCCTAGGTCTTATTTTCGGGGTAGGGCTTATATTGCAGCCCACCCCAATAATCCGGCTAGGGCTTATTTTCGGGGTAGGGTGTATTTTCGGGGAAACACGGTACTTTAACTTTTGCAATTCTGTTGTCAATTTTTGGAAATAGACAGTTTTGTTTTTTGTCTGCACCTGTTTGAAATATTGCATGCATCAGATGAGTAATGATTTAAAAGCATATTTTGGGTAGGGGTACGGTATTGAAACAGTATCTCGCATGCCCTCCTGATGCCTTGGGCTGATATACTCTTTCTGGCTGAGAATGATGTCAGTTGTAGAATAAAGCTACCTTATACTCAATGAGGTGCACTGCATGATTTCAACCCCGCTTTATCTGATCTTAACTCCCATAACCCATAATATAAAATTACAATTATTCATCTAGTGCTAACATAATCTGTAACGCTGTACAAAATAAACACAAAAGTCTAACAAAACATGATTGACGTACTGAGTAGGAGAAGAGGTCCCTGCCCAAAGCTTAGATTTACATTTATTTAAAACATAATCGTAAACACAAGCATCAATTCCTGTAACTTTTATTTTACCACTTATTTCTAGTCATAAAGGGACAATTTAGGCACCATAACAACTTCATCTAAATTAAGTTGTCATGGTGTCTGGAGGCTCCTAGGCGCGTTCTTACCTTCAGGGGTTAAACGGTTTAACCTCAAAATGAGCCTCCAGCGCACATTCTCAGGTCCCCCAGGTAGCATTCTGCTTCCGAAATCTCTGTTTCAGAGAGTGCTGCCAGGCAGGGGCACCGCTGATTGGCTGAGAGCGGTCAGCTGATGAAAAAGGTAAGCTTCTTTTCAAGCCAGTTTTATGAATGGGGAGTCACTCATTAGTCTGGTCATATACTTTAAACTAAACTGCCATAAAACCGCTAATTCTAATCACAAACTATTACAATTCATAAATTATAATCTTTTTAGAAGCCTAATTCTTATTTATAACCTAACCATAACACAGTCTAATCACATACAGGGTGCAGCAGAACCGATTAAGCAGTTTTGAGGCATTATAAAAATTTAACTGAGATATATAGAGAAAAACTGTTTTTATTTTCGAATTCAGCAGTAAGTATCATGTTATAGTCATTAAATTTTGATAATAATGTCCTGGAGAAGGCGGTCATTAGCAGCAACACACTGTTGGAGCCGATCTCTGAAGTTTTGTACAGCTCGTTCACACATATCGCAGGGTATGGTGTTAACTTCTTCAATAATCTGCTCCCTTAGCTCTGGTAGGGTGTGAGGGCGATGTTTCAACACTTTTTTTCCTTCAGATACCCCCAAAGAAAAAAAAAATCGCAAATGCTCAAATCTGGTAACCGCGCCAGCCACCCAACATCACCCCTCAGAGAGACCAGACGTCCGGGTAACATTTCTTTCAAAACATTGAGTGAATTTCGGGCTGTGTCAGCTGTAGCCCCATCTTGTTGGATCCAGAACTCCCTCAAATTCCTCTTCAACAATCTCTTCCATTCTGGGCTGCAGAAAATTTTCCAACATTGAGACATAACGTTCAGAATTCACGGTCACGGTCACGGCTTCCTCCTCAAAAACGTACGGGCCTATCACTGTGAATTGTGATACGGCACACCACACTGTTAGTTTAGGGGAATGTAGCTATCTTTCATGAATCATTCGGGGGTTATTTTGAGCCCAGTAGTGGAAATTTTGCTTATTCACAGCTCCACTGAGATAAAAATGTGCCTCGTCGCTACTGAAGAAAGCTGCTGCGGGAGGGATCTGTGCAAGCATTTGCCAACATCATCTTGTAGAGAGGAAACTGCAAATCTAAATGAAGAATCCTCCTCAGACTGCGGTCTGACATTCCCAAAGCAACAGCATACATTCGAGCAGAACGTCCTGGCGACTGCTCAACTGCTACTCACACCAGCTGCACATTTTCCGGTGTTCCTATGGACCTGCGTCGGCCATGTGTACCTCTTCTAAGAGTGGTACCAGTTTCCTCCAACCGCCTAACCCATGACCGAATTGTGTTTGCATTAGGAACGGCGTTGTGTCACAGAATGTTGAACCGTCGCCGAAAAGCTCTTTGCGTTGCGATCACAGGCGGGCTGTTTTTTAAATTTGCCTGCACAGCAAAGCCTCGACGTACTCCGGTCACAACCATATTGGCTACTAAAATAGGGTGACGGACAGAACACAATGAGACCAGGTGCACCTGCCTCCCCCCACCACAGCCCAAGCATTGACCCTGCAAAACTGCATAATCGGTTCTGCTGCGCCCTGTATTACAAACTAATTCCCATAACTACTACTCTAGTCCTTATCGCTAACCCAAATTTCCATACACTGAAGTTTGAATTGTTGGAAATGTAACAGGAAATTACAAACTATAGGCCATAATAGCCAAAAACCTGTTGTCTACGAGTAAAAGTAAGTAAATGGCCACTATAGGCCCCCAGGCGACTTCATTTAAAAAAAATAGATCGGTGCATTGGCTCTGTTTTTGGTCCTGCAATGTAAAGCATTGCCGTCTTGGGTATGTTTACATTTCAGGGATAAACATTCTCTATTGGCTGTCTTCCTTCCACTCTTACAACCGGGTCACACTTGGTTCTGTGATGTTCTTTGTCTTCATGCATTGCTTGCGGAAGAAAGTCCTCTGATGCTTTTCATAGAGAAACATTGGATTCAATGCTTCTCTATTAGAAACATTTGATTTGAGGAACACAGAATTGGCTGTGCATATGCTTCTCATCTCCAATGCTTCTCTATGGGAAGCATTGGTTTGGACAAGAAGCTAAAGAGAAGACAGCAAGAAGGTAGCAAGGGCCAAAGACCCATGTCTATCCTCTATTCATACTTGCAAACCAACTCTCTTATGTGGATC